GAAGAAAGGGGGAGAGAGGGAAAGAAGCGAGGCCGGGGGGGGGGGGGGGGGATATCATCAGCGGTGCCCGACTGTACACAGAGATGTTACCCCCCGCGGTCCCATACGGCAGCACTACCGTACGTTGCCACGCTAATTCGCTAAAAAGCAACAGCTCCAGCGCCTTGACCGAAAGAACCAGGCCAAAGCTGACCATTTGACGGGGGGTTGATTTTGATGACAGTGGGAAACAATCCTCAACAAAAACAAATACATGGAACACACACACAAAAACCCCACCGTCGGAGTTGCTTGATGTCCAAAGCGAGGGCGGCAAGAGAGCTGGGACGTCTGAAAAGGTCCCACTTCTTAAGGCTTTCGAGCGAGGCCAAGCGGTACGTGTTGTACGCTTCGTGCATGCCCTGCGTAAACCCCTGGCGGCGGCAGCGGCAGCAGCAACGAAGAAGAGAGCGACGCAACACAAGAAGTACAGGTCGCGAGAAAAAGAGGGGAAGTTGAGGACAAACAATAAAGCAACAAATCGTGATGTGGGACAAAACGCCTTCTTCCTCTTTTTCCCGTGAAGAAGAGGGGGTACGCAGAGTACACACACGACGCGTCTGTAGGCACAAGAACAACACCAGCAACACTCCCCCCCGCCCCCCCGCCCGCACCCCTCACCCCTTCCACAAACCAGCAAATACAATCGACTTAAAAAACAAAATTACACGCCCACGATGTATCCACACTTCCACTTGTACACACAAAAAAGAAAGGAAGCGTCCCACATGCAGAGAGTATGTCTACTGTACCCTGTTGACGTCGCCTTCGGTGGACGGGAACGGCACCAGGTCGGGGCACCTCTCCGGCGCGTCCCCGTCGATGACCACCTCCCACTCCGCCCCGGACTCGCAGTACGGGATGAACACGCTCACCACGATGTCCTCGCTCTGGGCGAAGCCCCCCGTCACGGGCTCTTGCAAACTCGCCTGGAGTAGGGGGCGCGTCAAGCGACAGCGCGCGCAAGTGTGTACGCGTGCATTGCATCAGAAGAAAGGGCGAGCGTATGCATCATCTTTGAATGATTTTAGCCGGCTACACTATTTTATATACCACATCCCATCGAAAAAACACGCCAGTCTTGTGCGATATGTAGCGGGATGCGTACGTCCATGCGTGCATTGCATCAGAGGTAGGGCGAGCGTTTCACCTAAAAAGTATTCTTGAGTATATATATAGCATCGACCGCGGTTGTTGTAGCCGGCTATGCCATCGAAAACACGCCAGTCTATTACGGTATGTAGCGGGAAAATAAACGCCAACACGCCGCCTTTTAGGCATCGGGCTCCCCCCCGCCCCCGGGGGCACAAGAGGAGGAGGAGAAGGAGGATGGACGACAGGGTTCGGTCTCCAGATTCACAGCGCACTTTGCAAAAGCGTGGTTTGCGTGCGTGTAACGGTCGCAGCCTCGTCGTTCTGTCTATTCTCGACATGTCACAGTTGTCAATGCTACCTCGTCTAGATATCTATGATACCTCCGCTCAAACGTACGAAAAGATCGCGACCAGTTTGCTTCCTTCAGAAACAGGGATCCGGGTCTGAAATACCATACAGTTGCATCATTGGTTCAGTGGTAGAATGCGTGATTGCCATTCACGCGACCCGTGTTCGATTCACGGATGATGCATTTTGTTTCGTTTTTTTCTTGTCGCCTCCAAGGATAGGTTTTCTTCCGTGTGTTGTAGATGATCCTGACACCGTATTTAACACCCAGGGGATGAAATTAAACCATCCCCGGGTTTTCAACTGGGTAGGAACTTAAGCTTCCCACTGAACACATGCGCACGGAAAGGGAGGCTGCCCTGAGCGCTACGCAAGGCACGCTACGCCACCACAGACAACAGTATCACACCCGTTCACCATCTCCGCGCCTTGAGAACCCAAAGGCTTGGTGCTCGAGAGCCTGTATTCAATGAAACCATGCACTCCTGCTGTCGACCACCCAGCAGATACAACGGAACGCACGCAGAAACACAGACGTGTACGGGCTTCTGCTTCGGGCGGCACGTCAAGAAAACGACGTACCCTGGATCGCGCAGCCCAGGAACAACACCCGCGTACGGCTAATGCAAGCAACGGACGTCTTGCCACTCTCGGCACTGCAGCTGTGTATGTCGACGGGGCTAGAACATTGTAGCACTGCAGTATTTGCTACTATTCTGTCGTGACTGTTCAGTAAATACTCCTCCTCCCCTTCTCGATGTCGGTACAATCCCTGCGTATCGTCTTCCTTTTTCTATTGCGCTAGGCCGACTCAACCTCTCGCCCTCTCCCTCGGTCAGTACAATCTCTGCGTCTAGTCTGCTTACTGCACTCTTGCTTGACGCGCGACGCATCCTAGGGAGCGATCGTGGAAAGCACCGAGAACGGCGGCGAAAAATCACCCGCGGATGTTCCAGGACGCATCAACCGACTGGTCGACGAGCGGCCAGTTCGAGGGACGGTCCGATTGCAGCGGCAACGTAGGCGACACGGTGGGGCGTCCGTCGTAACTTACGACGTGCGGAGCCCCCCTGAATCGGCTAAGTTGGCGCCGTTGCAGGCCTCCCCCCGAAGCGGCCACCCATTGACCAATCGGTTGACGTATCCTACAACAACGGCCGGCGGAGGCTTTTTCACCCCAGCTCTTGTTTCGTTCCACGACCGCTCCCAAGGATGCATCGCGGCGTATAGCAAGAGTTTTGAGCAGACGAGACACAGGGACTGCACCGTACCGACTGGGAGAGGAGGAAACCTCCAAGGCAGAGGAGCAAATACTGCGTGGTAGTCAATCATACATAGTTGCGGTGCCGATAGTGCAAGAACGTGTATTGCTTGCGTTGAATCGTGCACGGGTGTTGGGTTCCTGGGCTGCGCGATACTGTCCACGAGCCCAACGAGGACCCGTGCTCCCAGCAGTGAGCAAGCAGCGCGTACACATGCCAACGGCCCTATGTAGCGCAAAGCTCCGTGAGGTTTCGCATGCAACCTCGTCTCGAGGACGGTAGCGTCATATTTTTTGTTCTCGTGCGTCTGCCGGTCCCCGATGACATCGATCGGTGCACATATCCGGAGCAAGGCAACACACACGCCGATGACCAATAGGGCTAGTCAGCAACAAATCTCATGTCTTCAAAACGAGCCCGTCGGGCAGACGACAACATCATCAGCAGGCACAACAAAGTGTGCGCACTCGCAGAGAGGCAAATTGTCGTCGCCGTATTTCTCGCACCACATATGTATCCTTCACGGCCTCCTTGTTGACGAGACGGCGGTACGAGTTGTCGATAAGCCCTGGCGCGTCTTCGGCTTGTGGTAAACCTGTTCCGGAGATGGTCACTTTGCTCGTAGCTCTCAACTTGGCAAGCACGATCGGGCCACATCTTCGGCCACACTGCTCCGATCCAACCACCGTGACGCTGGACATGACAGCAGTCGAGGGCGCTCAAGAAGGGGGACAGCGGAACTGGAAAAACGAAAACTCTTATTACCCCCGCCCCTCACGCCAGGTGAGGGAGCGGCGCGAAGCCATCGCAAGGAGATCTCGCGCCCTCGTTTCTTGATACGAAGGCGTTATCTCTTGTAAAGTCTTCGCCGCGCTTCTCCCTCACTTGGCGTGAGGGGCGGGGAGAGTTTTACTTTGGCCGTTTCGCCGTCCCCCTTTCGGACAACGCCCTCGACTCGCTGCGAGGCCGCCGTCAAGGCGACCGGATCGAGTGGGATCGAGTCCACGGCAACTGCTGCTGTCTTGTCAACAACTCTTGAACTGAACTTGCCAAGCGCAGCAGCGGGCGACTCCACACGAAGGAAGGAAGCTGCTGAAGCTGCTGATTTCACTGCTTGTGCGTGCTGTCGCAGCTCACAAAATATCGCCCAGTAGGTGCAGCTTTTTCTTGGGGGCTTATCTTTCCATGGATCCGGGCGTTCGTGTCCTGTGTGTCTAATAGTGTCTAGGTTCTCTGCCGTTGTATCTGCTGGGTGGTCGACAGCAGTAGGGCTCGGTTTCATCGACTACAGCTCTCCGGTGCGAAGCCTTGGGTGCTGAAGGGGCAGGCAGAGAGGCGAAAAGGTGTGATGCTGCTGTCGCGGTGGCGGCAGCGTGCCTTACAGATCGCTCAGGGCAGCCCCTCTTTCCGTGCATGTGGTCACTGGGAACCTTAAGTGTTACGTTAGGAAACACGGGGATGTTTTCCTATCATCTCCTGATCGTCAAAAAATATTACGACGACAACATGGTCGTGTGTCGTGATCATCTCCCGCACACCTGTGTTACCGCGGCTGAATAGTCAAACAGATACCGTGTAGAGGCTGGCGCCAGAATAAATCGGAAGAACACACACACACACATTGCAAGGAGGTTGATGGAAGCAGCAACATCATGCCAAGGGGGGCCGAAACGAACACGAGTACAGTAGAAAGTAGCACTGTACCTTCGGTAGAACGGCGTGCATCTCTTCATCTACACTAGACTACTTTGTTATTCCCGAGAATAGCCTACAGTCCTCCCATGACGCCCCCCTCACGGGGTCCCAGACCATGGCCTTGAGAAGCTCTTTCTATATCGGCCGTATTTTCATCGGCCAGCCGGTTGGCGCGGTCGATGCTACTAACAAAGAGACACGCAGGTGCCCCGCGTGCTTGTGTCTCAGTCTAAGCACCAAAGTATATGCATAGAGTAGGACATGCCCCCATACAGTCATTTCATTTCGGAATGGGAATATGACGATCTCTATGAAATGGTAGCATTTCCCCGCTGATCACCAAAAATCGAACATCAGTCAAAGTGTGGGCAGCATACCGCCGTGTAGCCAGGTTCCAAGGTTGCACGGACGTTTCCGGTTGTGCACGACGGCAGTACAGCTTGTGTACTCGTATTTGTCTTCGCGACGCACAGCAACTGGTACTTCCTGCTGAAGTCTATTTAGCTACATCGCTCAGTTTGGAATTTAAATGTGAGTACAAACGGCAGGCATCCGATGCTCTCGTCTTTAGGAACACTGGCTATGCCCAAACGAGTGCGTTGTACTGGATCATAAGAAGTCAAGAAGAAGGTAGGCATCATACGAATGCTCAGCGGCGAGGAAAACTCGCTCTGTTCAGGGACAAAGAAAGGTATTTCCAAACGAACGCCCGGCGCGTGGCATTTTCTTGTCTACAAAGCATTTCTTCTCACCTTAATACCCCAGGCATTTTGCCGAGAAGAACGCTTCAGGCAATCGATCTGATCTCGCACTGCGCTTAGCACCACGTTGCCCTTGGTGCGAACCATTTCACACACCTGTTATACGGCACTCAAGCGCAGTTGGTTGCTCTTGCTGTTGTGTGCAGTAGCTCAAAGAGCCCGCCGCAAAGGAGGCAGGGGGGATCGCAGAAAGTATCGCACTACAGGGGGAGCAATGGAAAAAGTTTGATTTGCCAGCCCCAAACAACAGCAACAAAGAGCACGCCACACTGCACATTTTTTCCCTCTACACTTAGGGTGGGGCGAACATAATGCTTCTATTGAAACATCACGCTCGATCTGGAATAGTTTAGTCTCGGTGCGCATGGAAACGCACCAGAAGAACTCCCTGACATTCTCGAGTCGGGAACCCGAAGAACCTGCGGAACGGATCGAATCTTTAGTATCCGACAGTCCCGTCGATGTCATCGACAAACATTGTGTATGGGAATCGCATGGACATCGACACGGAACAGCGCCCCCCCCCCCACTTTGTCATTGTTGATTCGTTGCAAAACACAGCGGAGGCCAAATATGCCGCTGACTACGTTGATTGATTGAAGTTCAGGAGAGGACCTGTATCGAGATGGACGAAAAAGGCCTTGCCGAGCCAGCTTGAAAAAAAAGAAAAACTGTTTTGTTGAGCCTGTTACCCGCAGGGGAGCTGTCCCTATACAACATGCTGTCTGGGAAATCGTAGACATACAGGCACTCACTTGAAAAGACTCCACATGCCGTTCGACTGTGGGTATATCTCGAATCGGTAGTCTTTCTGTGTGTGCTTTTATTATTCCTTAATGCAGGTGTACTTGCTGACGCTATGAATTCATTGCTAATCTGTCTCTGACTCTTTTCTATAGATAGATGGAGATGGATTCGTTGTGTCAATGTGCGAACAGCAACCTCCCCTCCGCTCTGCTGTGTGCTGGGCAGTCCCATCTCTCGGCGCGCAGAGTTACGAGGTTGGAAAATTAGCAGAAAACTATGGCTTCGCCTCTAACCGGTACCGTACTGAATAAGAAATGGAAGCTGGGGGCTCTAGTGGGATCCGGAGGGTGTGCGGAGGTGTACGAAGCAGAAGCCACAGGCTCTCGGGGACAAAGCGCAGATGGGCCATTTGTTGCCAAGATCGCGCCTGTTCCTGTGGCCCTCCCTCTCGCCGCGAAGAAGGGGAGGTATGCGTACAAGAGAAAGACGGAAGAGGAGAAGCATGCGGATATGATCCACTACGAGCACGTGCTGTACACGGCCTCTCTAGCCAAACATGTTGGGGTCGTTGAGGTGCGCCCAGGAATACTGTACGTTTGTTTGTTGTCGCACATGGCCAGCCGTAAAAGACCAAGCTGCTAAATATCATGCAGAATATTCTATGGTTCTTGTATAGTCTAGTCTAGTAGGGCGCGTGCGAGAGGTGCTGATGGCCTCGAGTTGACAATCAATCAACCGACGATTTCGTGTGGCTTTACATACATACATAGGCTCAAGTGTGAGTTTTCGGCCACTCACAACACATGGCATTCATACCCACTACCACGCGGAAACCGGAAGCGCCGCCGCTGCGAATTCGGTTTTTTACATTTCCCAGATTTTTTCAACAGAACGGCAGCTTTGCATGCTTCCGGGCCTTCAAAAGTAACTGCTGTAGATCGTCGTCGTCGTCGTTGTGGTGGGCTTGCCGTAAGAGGTGAAGAGACGGCAACCCCTCTGTAGACTGATTTTGAAAACTCGATTGAAGCTCGATTGCTCCACAACCAAGATTCATTGTGCCAACGTGCCAACACAACAAAATGGTGGTTTTAGAAACATCTTGTTCGGGCTTTTCGTAGAATTATCCGGCTCTTCCCACAGGCTTCCTTAGTTAGTTGTGAAGCAATCGAGCTTTAAAGGTCGATCTGGGGAGGGGTGCTTTGGTGCTATCTCTCTCCGCCTCTTACGGCAATGGTCGAGTGTGTGGAGCATGCATGCCGTTCGTAAGGAATACAACATAAGTGAGGTCTACATGTATGTCCAGTTGCGCCTCGGGTAAGGGTGAGGGATAGGGGGTTAGGTGGCGACCGTCGTGGGAAGACGGAGGGTGAGGAGGGGTGAAGAGAGCGGGCGAGGCGAGAATAAATGTAAAACATAGACTTGTACCAGCGCTTTCTACGTTCGTTGAGGGCTTGACCGCCTTCTCTCTCACGTACAACAACCTTTCGATCTTGCCGGGATTTCACGCGGTCGCGCTTGTCCTTGGCATTTGATTCCCCTCTGCGAAAAAAATTCTTGCATGATACAGATCCCACGCAACGGCTATGGCGAAGACCAGAACCTGCGTTACCTGGTGATGACCAGGCTTGGTCTGGACGTGGAAGCGGCGCTAAAAACAAGCAAAGGCTGGTCGGTGGCTCGCAAGACTGGCTACGCCAGACAGATGCTGGCCCTCCTGCGCGCCCTTCACGAGAAATGCCAGATGGTGTTCATCGACGTCAAGCCAGGTGCGAGAGAGTCGCGCATATTGTTGATGGGGGTATTCTACGAACCATGGAGAGCATGCGCGTCTACAATATGGCCGTGGTGGAAAAGTTGTGCGGCTTCGAATGCACGCGTAGTTTGATCGTTGAGCATGGGAAGAGCGTTTTGCGGGGGTAACGGCAGCTATTTGGGGTTAGAAACTGAGTAGCGCGTGGCGCGGTTGTGTAGGCATACTGGAAGAGGATTTTATTGCTACGGTCGAGCCACACGAAGATAAAAGAGATGGTGGGAATTGAAATCACCGATGCATCAGGACTAGCCTTTCGTTTACCTAAGTGGCATATTTCGTGAACCTGTGCGGGGGCACGTGGGTGTGGTGGCCTGGGTCGGAGCACCACGCATGGTGCCCTTCGTTGCTGGAGTTGGTCGGTTTGAGCGCATGCCCTTGTGTTGGCATTCCAGCACCGTGGATAGGATTCTCATTCAACAGCGGTGCAGTTGATGGTGGGGGGACAGAAAGAAGGAGACACGGAGAGAACCCAGCGGCAGTGCATCACTCCCAACACTGCGCCTCGTTGCCCCCCCCCCCACCTTGCTGCCGCTTTCTACCGTAGAAAATTTCATGTTCGGGGTGCCGGGCTCTGCCGATGAGGATAAGATCTTCCTGATCGACTTCGGGCTCAGCACCAGGTTAGTCGCGGCAGGACAAACAAACGTCGAAGAAATCAATACCCCATTGGTTGTGTGATGTGTGCACCAAACAAATTGGAGCCTGCCTCTTCTCTTCGTGAGAGCAAACCGTTCTCGTGCCATCGATACGGTCCTGGCGCGGCCGATATTGGGCATTTGTAGCAGCAAAGGTTGGGCACTCGGTCTGTTCATGACTGGTCTACGGAGATACGCACTCTCTCATGTTCTTCTATGTCATCAGACCATGTGGCTTACCTCTACTGTGAGTTCGATCAGGCAAAGCAGGTAGGTTAGCGCAGCAAGACTCCGCAAGCAATCGCTATCCAATGTCCACTCCGTTAGTCAGCGAGCTCAGCAGTTCACCATTAGGCACGTATCGTGGCAGTTAGGCGCACAGGCACAGTGGCAATGGCACAGATCTCTTTCTCACACTTGGTGGTAATCAGAATCACCAGGTAGGCATCGGATGTAGGAGTCCGATGCGGGTATCCGGATTGGAATCGAGAGGTGGTGACACATCTGGAACCTCGATCCTATCAATCCACACCCTCCATGCTCAGAGTAGTCACCTCTGCGCACTTCAACGTACTTAGTTGCCTGTGGTTCTATAAACCTCCAGGCTCCCGTGGGAATATCGGTCTACCGCCGCTACACATTCGTTTCTCCTGGCACAGTACATGCGCAATCAGTTTTTTCTTAGTCCGACCCGCATCTCAACAGATGGCGCCGTTATTCGCTCAGCAAGACAGATTCAGCCGAGAGGGCGTGATAAAACAAAAAACACAGTTGCATTTGTGCTGGACAGGTATGTCGCACCGAGGGGCGGAATCAAACCCCAAGGCCAAAGCGCACAGATCCAGGGCACCGCGGAGTTCCTGTCTCTCAAATGTCATGGCGGTGCCAGCGCTGGAAGGTGAGAGTGACAGCGGGGAGGCTCCAACCGCCATTCATCGAGGCTTGAAGCAGGAATGATTTCTTCGCGGATCGGGGAGAAGGCTGACGGGGAAATTGGTTTTGTTGAGGCTCAAGTTTGTCGATGTGTACCGCTCGCGTGCTCTTGTTTTTCTTCCCCCTATTTTCCGCCCGCTCTTTTCCACCCCCTCTTGTGCTTGCACAATGAATGGTGTCTCGCACGCCGTACGTACCTATTTTGCTGCCCGAGTTACACTCTTTTGGCCCGTATCCCGAGTTGCGGTGTGCGTTTTTGCAGCACGGAAGATGTACGGATGACGGCCTGCCTTCGCTGATATTTCACTTGATTGACTCGTTTCCCTGCGCAGGTGCGACGACCTCGAGTCTCTCGGCTACGTGATCGTGTCCATGCTCAAGGAGGGTGACAGAGCCCTGCCCTGGAGCGGGTCTTCGAGCGTCAAGGACGGCCTCGCAGCTAAGAAGTCCGCGACGCTCGAAGCGCTATGCCGAGGATGCCCGGCGGGCATGCTTGAATACATGAAGGCCGTGCGCGGCATGGAGTTCGAGGAGGCTCCCGACTACGACAAGCTCGACGCTGTGCTCAAGTCCATGGAGAGCGCCGGGGCAGCAGCAGGCAGGGAGGGCGAGAGGCGGACGCGCCGCGGTTACACCCAAGGCTCAGGCCACCGCCGCCGCCGGTGGCGCTTTGACCCGCGGAACATTCACTACCGCCGCCGCGTCACGGCAGGAGGAGCGGGACGTGGAGGTGCGTGTCGCTGACAGGAAGGGTAAACGCAGGAAGGGGGCAGGACGAGGCGGGGCCACAGAGGCGTCAGCCGCGAAGGTGCCGCCGGCACCGCGGCCTTCGAAGCAAGGAGCGACGGCAGCGGTCCGGCGTAGCAAGCGGCTGTCGCCCCCGAAAGACGGGGAGGAATTCTTGGACGCGCTCTAAGAGCACGACGCCAAAGACATGGACAAGGGCGGAGAAGAGGAGGAACCTCCAAGTTACAAAGGTTGTACGTATTCAGGGCGTAGGATAGTCATTGCTTGCCGTGCATATAGTTGAGGACACCCGGAAGACCGGTACCAGCCGGTTAGGATACCCGGCAGGGTCGTGTGCCAATCGTACCCTACCGTAAGTTGGGGTTTACATACTCTACCCAAAGCTTGGGTGGTACTTTGTCGCCTTTGCAAAATACCTGAGGAGGGTACACGGGCACATACGTACCCGACCAAAAAATCCGTGAAAAATATCATACCTTTTTAACAGCTCGGTCGTGTTCATGCATCTGTCTTCTACCAAAAACCAAAGTAAACAAGGACAAACGAAAGCTGGAAACAAAAAAACACGATGTACACACGGAACAAACGTTTTCAAATCTTGTTGCTGTCCACACTCAGGCTTTACTTTCTCTAAATAGTCACGTGTGGGCTATGATAACACGCCCAGTCACACGACACGAGAGAAAAGAACAAAACAATAACTCGGCGCCGCCACTACATCATTTTATGCCAAAGCCCACCGTCGTTTCTACACAAACATGGCACAGTCCCACCAAGAATGTCTGGGGCACATGAGGTTTTTGCGAAAGAAGGCCGGACAGAACCTTACGTCCGAAAAATCGGAATAACGTCAAGCAGAAAATGAGATTCTGGCTTGACCTTGGACCGAGACCTAAAACCCTGCGCGTAACGCGCACTGCTGTAGTACCATCGTGCACCACACTCTTCTGTCTCCAACAAGAAGAACAAGAAGAAGAAGAAGAAGAAGAACAACAACAACAACATCGACAAAACACACTACAACACACATCGTGGCACACCTCCCTCTCCCAACTGCAGCGCAACCTCCCACCTCTGTCGTTTCGTGTTCAGATCCGCGGAAGACCGGGATCAGGAAAAAATAACAAACCCCGAGCAAGAAAGGGTTACCTTCTACATAGATATATACCCGCGGCATCAAGACCGTGTCGTCTAGCCTGCCTGTTCGTTTTCAGCCGTCTTGCCACCACCACTCTGAAGACATGAAAGGATTATGGGAAACCCAAGTGCAGAAAAACATTTCAAAGCCGCCGGGGCCGGAATCAACCTAAACAAACAAGACAGACATCGGCAGCACACGCACAAACACGGAGAGGGGGTGGTCGCCGCCGAAAGATTGCTCCGGCGACCGGTGAACGGCCCTAGCGTTTTCACGGATCAGATCCGGATCAAGGCGTGACGACCGTCCTCCATTCCTCCTCTCGGTAGTGCTGATTGCTGCATGTTTCCCCCGGCTGAGTGATACAAGATGATCTACGATCGTACAAGATGACCTACGGTGACACTACCCTACAGCTGTAGTACACTCCATGAATCGCTTGCTCACACCGGACGCAAGGACGCCAAGAAAACCAAGCCCGCTCTCTCCTTGCGAGACCAAGCGGCATCTCAGCAGCCCCCAACGCGTCGACCAACCAACTGCTCGGCGCGTCAGAGTCGGAGAGAATAAACGCTTGGATCAGGCAGCAACAGATCCCATGATACCAAGCGAGAGACCAGAAGAGACAAATCAGGTTGACCCCGACATTGGACCAAACAGGCCACAGCAGTCCGGTACCGTCAACTTCACTCCACAGGGGGGACCGACCGATATGACAACAACAGAGTCTCCAGCAGCCCGGGCCGTTTCAAAACAACGCCGCATTCAGGGGGACCTTCCGAACAGACCTACTCTCACAAAGACAGCAGCTGCTGCTGTGCACCCGATCCGAGAACAAAACGTACGCCTTGCTTCCAGACGACTGCCGGTCACGGTGAGGGCTCAGACGAAGTACATGACGTTGGTCAGGCTCTGGTGCACCGAGCTGAAGCAGCGGGCCCAGTCGATCTCCCTGGCGCCGCCGTCCCTGCCTTGCACGACTGAGGACGACTCGGAGGAGGAGTCGTCTCCCACCTGCTCGTTGAAAAATAAAAATAAAAAAAAAGTTGGCGGGGTTGTGCTCGGCACTGCATCACATCCACCGGTATTACCACCTGGCACGTCTTCACAAAACAAAAACATAGCAACACCTGGGAGGCGTGTGCAGACGCCCGCTGGGCGTTTCACTCTAGATGTTACGCCGCATTATTATGGAAAACCAAATGGGGGGCGAAATCACTTCGCGATCGATCGTCTACGCATATGGCCACACTCACGTTGACGAAGAACTGGGCGCGGAAAGCGACCAGGTGGGCGTAGTACACCGCCGGCGGGATGGACACGCTGCGGGTGCACCGGCAGTACATGAAGCACAGGCTGCAGCAGAGCGGAAGGGAAGGAGAGCAGGAGGGGGAGGACGGCGGTGTGAAAAGCGAGGCAAGCGTCGGGGAACCGAGTGTCGAACAAAACTGCTGTGGTGTACTAGAACCAAGCCAGAGGGGGCATCGTGAACAGAAAACTCGGTTGTGCGCCAAGGAGAATAACGAGTAAGGCTGTAAAACATTTGGAACGGACAACAACAACTACAACATGACATACCCGCGCTGCAGAAAACACTCAAAAGACAAAGAAACACAAAAACAACACAATCCAAAGCGTTACACCAGGTACATGTTTCGGTTCGAGACGATATCAACACACCGCACCGCTACACCAAGCTAAAACAACGACTACCCGTCGACTGGACTCACTGGTAGCACAGCAGCTGGAGAGAGTCCGAGTCGAACGCGTTCTCTGAAAAACGAAAAAAAAAGTTTGACACGGTAGAGGAAAGGGGGGCGGGGCGGGGGGGCAGTACGGTACGGTAAGCAGAATACACGCGAGTGGAGAGCGGTCGATCAAATACTGCTGTCATCAAGAGGGCAGCTACTACACCGTGATTATTCTCTCAACTCGAAAGTTTATGACGCCATCCCGATCGGTTGCTACTGCGAAAGCCCTGTCTCTCGGTTCTGTTGGTGGCCAACTTTCGCGAGCTGTCGCCCTCGGTAGAAGAAGCGACGTCATGTACATGATATTATTTGACGCTTTGCCGCACAGCAGTAAGGGCAACACTGGAACTCCACACATGAACACGGCAAACCCAAAGGATTTCTCCAAAACCGAGCCTTTGGCCAGACGGTTCTGTGCTGTCATCGTCCCCAACAGTTCATAAAATCGCTGGCGGCGGGGAGCAGCGTAGGTCAAGCACCATATGTTTGCGACACCTTGCGCTAGAATTTTGGACTATGCCCGCGGTCACCAACCAGCAAACCAAACCAAAACATAAAGGAGGCTAACTACAGCGGGGCACCCTCAAATGAAGAGTTAGACAGAGGGGGGGGGTCCTGCACACAAACAAAATATGCATGAAGCGCGGCCGGCCCGCCGCTGCCAGCTCTTCTCACCGTCCCAGAGCACGTGGTACTTGGCCGGGCGAGAGGTTCCCTGCAGGCCTCCGTGGGACATGAGGTAGAAGTCCCACTCCATGGGGTGGCAGATGCCAGTCTCCACCACGGTCCCGGGGAACACGTTGCCGGACTTGTCCTGGTCATCCCTGCAGCAAGAGGAAGCAAAAAAACGGGGGGGGGGAGGGGGGGGTGCTCTTTCATGTTTAGCATGCCATAGCGGTTGGACTATTGACCACGCATCCTCGAGGAGGTGGAGCACTGTTCCTAAAGGACCGATCGCCGGTGGCCAATCGTTCCTCACTACAACTGGGGGGTGCAAGGAAGGACAAGAGAGAGATACATTAAATGTATCAGGGACTGACTGACTGCTGTGTCAAAATGAGGGGCTCAAAATGTGCCCTGCACAACGGAGAAAAACCCACGGACACAACAATGTCGAGAACGAATCAATATCCGGGCACCCCCCGATACGAGTGATTGACAGCAGGCGACGACAGCGACAGCAAGCTGTACATTGTAGCCACAGTCGCAACCACGGCGACCCTCCACCTCCACCTCCACACTTTCGCAAAACGTGTCGGTGATCGTACATCTGTCTTGTCCGTTTTCTTCCCTACAGCTGAACTCGAGCGCTTATTACGTCTTCGATTTTTTGACGGTTGTCCTAACTGGCCCTACCACAGCGACGCACCACCCTCGCGTAAAAACTAAAACGCCTACAAGTGCGTTTCGGTGATCAGATTCGTGTCTTCCCTACAGCTGCACTCAGCCGCTGGCTGAGCTTTCGTTTTTCGACCGTCGTTCTGACTGACCCCACCTGTTGGGCTGGAAGAGGCGGGTGTGGTGGCGCTTCTGTACGACGATGAAGGTGATGGTAGGACGGTAACCCACCTCCAAGGCCGCGCACGCCTGCTCGATCGCTCGGACCTTTGTCGTCGTCGCGAATCACAACGGCATTGGCATTGGCATTGGCATTGGATTGCGCCGAAAAACAAGAAATTCGTTCAGGGCGTCGTCAGTCGACTTAACGAGGACGAGGCATAACGAACGAAAGAAATATCCACGGAGGAACGGCGTTCTTTGCGCAGAAAAACCGAACAAACAGCAAAGGTCGGGCGGCACACCACACCACCGAAGCAAAGAGGAGACGATAATTGCCAAAAAGCATCAAACCCGGTAAACTCTTCACGAACAACAGCGAGAGGAGCACCAGCACCAGAAACTTCAGCAGGTCGGCACTTTTCACAGCAATAACGTCAAATCCAACACACACAAAGAGACATGGTGAACAAAGCACACGAACTTCACTCCGGCACACATCAGAGATTTACAGAAAAGGCGCGAACACAACAACAGTCTTCTCACCAACAACCACCACGGCAACGACAACAACAACAACAACAACAACAACATCTCCTCACCTCGTAGCGGAGGACCTCCCGGAACTGCCCCTCGCTAACGCCGTCGCGGAAGAAGATGATGCGGGCAGGCTTGGCGTTGTTGACGCGGTAGAACGAGATCAGCAGGTTCTTCACCATCGACGCCAGGTCCTGCACGACATGGTTTGTTGGGGCATCAACACGCCCGGGGATCGCGGTTGGTGACTTGCGATATCTTGGGGTTTTGTTTCGTTGGCTAACGACTTCTTGACAACGCCCCGCAAGGGCTATTACCTGATTCGATTGTTATGGTAGCCATGAACATAACCGCCAAAGCCCTTTGTGTATCCGGCGATATAAAAAGGTAATCCGACGTTCATGCGATCTGAGGACCATCCCACAACATCATCGTCCCGTCCCACTCCATATTTTGACCTGGACAACCACCTTCCGGTGCTTCTACACGCAAAAAATCCCAATTCACTTCTATTCGACAACTCCACCCCATCCCGCAAAAAAAAACCATAACATTCCATCGTTCCATCTGACCGGGATATTCTCCTTTCCTTGTCTCCAGCACAACGAAATTCTGCCCCACCCGCACATCTCACAACACGAAGCCTTTCCACGCACCCCACGACAACCCGGCTAACCTCCTTCCGACGTTTCTACACGAGGTACATCCCCCATCCATCCCGACAACACTCTTCGTTCCACAGCCCCATCCTGCACACTCTACGGTAACCCCACTATCCTCCTTCCGGTGTCTTTGCAAGGTACAACCTTCCATTTCGACGACACCATCCCGTTGCACTACCTCATTCCACACTCCCATCTTCCATCTCACGGGGACAAGTAACCTCCTTCCGGTGTGCTTTCACCGTTCCACAACCCTATCCCATCCCATCCCACCCTTCCATCTGACCCCCACCTTCCCGGACCCCGTCCGTTTCGACAACACCATCCCGTTCCACAACCCCATCCCATCCCACTCTTCCATCTCACCTGGATAACTCCCTTCCGGTGTCTCTGCACTACGGTACACTCCCATCCATTTTGACCACACGATCCTGTTCTACACCCGCATCCTATCCCACCCATCCGTCTCACCTGGATAACCTCCTTCCGGTGCTCCTGCACCGCGACGCACGACCCGTGCCTCGAGACCCATCGGTCCATGCTGGCCACGACGGCGGCGATCGACGGCTTGGACACGTTCCCGGCGCCGGGGTGGTTCACGTCGGCGCCGAAGACGATCGTGGGAGCCTGGTTTTCACGAGAGAGAAGAACAAGACCCCCAAAGGCAAAGCGTTGACGGGACAAAGGGAGGGAGAGAGGGAGAGAGATAGAGAGAGAGAGAGAGAGAGAAAGAGAGAGAATAAGAGAGAGAGAAAGAGAGAGAGGAAGAGAGACAGGCAGAGAGAACCAGAAAGAAGGAGGGGGCAACAACAGTATTGGTGAGAAGGAGGGAGGTAGATGGAGTCAGAGGGGGACAACGGACCGGGATATGTGTCAAGAGACGCGGAAGACCTGTTAACAAATGCAGACAGAAAAAAAGATTTATCTTTCGAGGGGGCGCGGGGGAGCTGCATAGTTGTGTCAAGCGATGGCCTGCAGCCCCCGCCGTACCACCGATTGTTCCGAGCAAACAAAACCTCCCACACGTCCTACAGCAGTATTGCACGCCATTTTGGGCATGTGTCTTACAAGGAAAGTCTCATCGGCGTCTTTACCAAAATAAAAACGAAAGCTACCATTGGTCCATTGCTAATTTAAAACCCTCCATCTTGTTCGTTGAGTATGTACATAGCTTCTTTTTCCCCCAAGCCGACGAAGACTCACGTCTTGCACGAAGGGAAGCTTGTCCCTCGGCACGGCGTTGCGGCCGCCGAGCTTGGCGTTGATTTTGAGGCAAAGGTTCGCCAGGTACTGGATCTTCGCCGTGTGGACGTGCTTCAGCAACACGCACTGTTGTTGTTGTGGTTGTTGCCGATATATTTTCGAGAGTACGGCATCGAAGCCAGCAGCAACACACACGAAGCAGGGAATGGGAGGGGGGTCAACGAATAGGCAATACTGTCGCAATGGGTGGTAGACGAAAACGGTAACAAATAAGGAGCTTCCAACAAGCACTGTCCTGATGCAACAAGCACTGCGCCCGTAACAAACAAAAGCGACCAAGATACATTTGAGCTGACGAAACAACGACTCAAATCATCAACCCCACCAACAAGCACGGACCAATGAAAAAAAAGCACGAGGAAATCAAGAAGAAAAAAAAAAGAACAAGATGAAACACACCTGGCTCGGGATACCGAGCACGGTGTCCGAAGCGAGCTTGATCTCGCCGTAGTCCTTCGAGTCTTGGGTGGGCTTCGGCACCAGGATCAGCTGGCAGTCCACCTTGAACTTCTTCCTGGAATGGACGAAAAAATTAACCACACCAAAAGGTTCACCTTATAGCAAAGAGAGAAGCGGGATCAGCTGGCGGTCGTGATCGAACTAATTTCCGAAAATTGCAAAAAAGGTATCACACCAAGAGCAAAAGAACCCCATACTTCCTCGAGGAATCCACCATCACAAACAGCAGTAAAGCTACAGCGAACGTGGTTCCTGAAAAAAGGCCGCACACATAGCACCAAGGGGTTTGGCCGGTCACCTACTGGACACCCGACACTGTTCCAGAGTACGAGACAAGGACAAACTCATTGAGTGACCACAACAACCATTGTAGTTTATCCTGGAATCTTTCATCTGTTGATGGAGGTGAATTCGTTGCGTGTTTGCAACAAAAACAAGACCTAAAAAAACCCAGATTTTTTCACAAAAATACTACCAAAAAAAACTCGAGCGGCGACGACATGACGATGACGCTTGGCTAGTCGGCCTAAAAAACCAACCTGGCTGCGTCCCTGGCGGCCGTGAGGGCGTTCCTGGCGTAGGTGGCGTCGTCCACGCGCTGGTTGTTGGCCGCCACGCTGTCCGCCATGAGGATCGGCGGCCTCCTCGCTTCGGGGCTGACGTCCATCCCGTGGGTGCCCATGACCTTCACTAGCTCCGACACGAAGTGCTCCGCCCCCTGCGGCAGCGTCATCAAATGGGGTCAGCAATAGCAAGGATGGCAAAGCCAAGTTGCGCAGCAATCAATGTGAGAGACGGAAGCGGGGTGATCGGGTCAGCAGCAGACGGCAGAGCGGCAGCAACCAATGTGCAACAGAGAGGGGAGGGGGTAAGGCCGAGGGGCACACGGCTGTTTGGAGGGAACCGACAGAAAATGTATGGCAATCGAGTAGAGGGCCAAGTGGAGCCAAAAACAAACACCAAGCTTGCCACGAGCCCTTGGACGATTGCAACAACAAACACAGAGTACCAGGTAGGTCGTTAAACGCACCAATGCCACACAAGCACACACCCATGGACCCTTCATGGAGGGTCCCAGATCATGGCATTCAGAAGCATTCCTGTTTTCAACCGCACTGAGACTGACATTTTTCGACTGGTCTGCAGGTTAGCGCGGTAGATGCTGATAATAATAATAATAAAAAAAAAACAAGCACACCTGTAGCTGCAGGTCTCGCTCCTGCGTGAAGCAGACAACCGCCCAGCTGACCAGCTTCTTGTTGTCGAACATCTTCTTGTCGCGGAGGTTCCAGGAGCCGCACTGCGGCTGCTCGGTCTGCTGCCGCCCAGCCTGTTTTTCATTCAAGAGGTTCGAAACAAGTTCACCAGTTTTTCCCGAGTCAAATGAATGTGTTGGCCCAACAGGCAGTAGTACTTAAAATTCAAGACCAGGAAACGGTTGTAGGAACACATACACCGATCAGAAAGCACCATAGGAATCCAACCAAAGCAAATTAACAACATCTATGCAAACGACATGTGCTAACACGTGTCTGAGCAATTTCGCTTCTCTGTTGCTTTGGGGGATCTTCACGCCACCTACCTTTCAGACTCAACATCACACCATCCTTATCCTTACCCATCTTTCCGCGACAAAACAAAATTGAAACACGCACGCAGGGAAACCGCTCGCAACGCCCCCTCGCCTTGTTGTACTGGATGCAGGGCGGGGGGAGGATCCGAGCCTGGGTCTGGATCTGCTTGTTGGTGATGCGGATCCCGAACTGCTCGCAGCTCTTGTTCATGTCGGCTGCAGACCCAGCAGGCCAACGTCAACGCAAATGTTGTGCGGGATAAGTGGATACCCATAATAAATGGTATACGGTACGGTATGCGTGTTGTTTGGCGGGACAAAAAAAGAAACCCAGCAAGGTTGACAATACCCGACATGTCCATGAACAGCTCTTCCCTACAGCATCTCGCACAGTCCCACTGCATGGATCCCCAACACCGGGTGCTTGTGGGGATAAACCGATATGGGAAACGCAATACATACGGTAGCTTCCCCGTACCGCGCTTGGCGTCTAATATTAACGCGAGGTATATGATAAATAGGACGAAACACGTATGAGGTAAGGTTAGCGCCAGCAGCACGGCGCGACGCAGGATTTGTGGAAGCATGGTGGCGGCGATAGTTTGCAATTACATGCGTGCGTCCAATGGCCCTCGGTGCCTGCAAGCAGAGAGAGAGAGAGAGAGAGAGAGAGACAGACAGACAGAGAGACAGAGAGCTACCCTGCGCGCGAGCAATGAGACAATCAATGGGGTGCCGCAACCTATCTATTTTGCAGCTGGCGCAGCTGCAAAGCAGCTCCAAAATATATGGGTTGCGTCACGCACACGGAAGACCTCGTTTCTCGCACGCTTGGTAGCTCTCTTTCTCTTTTTCTCTCTCTCTACCTCGCGAGCGCCGGGCATACCGTCGCTGCCATTGGATGCACGTATGCAATTGCAAACTATCGCCGCCCCCGCGCTTCCACAAATCTCTGGCGTTGTTAAACTGCACACATCGACGTGCCGAATGCCGAACGGGCTTGCTACGATACTACAACAGACAACGCAGGCGCTACCGTACCCAGCGCTCGCTGCAACCCCCCGTACCTATAGAAGCCGACACCAAACCATTAGACGACGAGACACAAGGTTTGATATCGTCTCCTATAGGTAGAGGGTTAGCAGTGCGCACGGCGAGCCTATTAGTATCGGCTTTGAAGGTACAACGATGGTTTGCAGCGAGCGCTGCTAGCCTCATGGTTTGATTTCGGCTTCTGTGTACCACCACAGCACTCCGGGTGGCAACGAAAAACGTTTGCACGCGTACCGTTGATGTTGTTAAACTGTTGGTGGATGGCGCCCTGGCGGACGTCCGGCCTCTGGCACGTGATCTTGATCATGTCCGCCGTCTGCTTCTCGTCGAGCTTGGCCACCTTCTGTCCCTGGGCGATCTGCACGATATCAAAGCCAATCAAGCGCCAAGCAAGCAAGCAAGCGAGCAAGCAAGCAAGCCAGATAGGTACGCAAGAGGACGGGGCGCAAGAGGCAATTAAGTCAAGGCGGGAGTTGAGGGGAGAGGGTGTATGCACTCGTCGACCAAACACTTACGACGCACGCAAATTAAAAAAAAACACGCCATTTACGAGAAAGGAGGGAATCAATCATTCACGGCAGACCTGGCGGAAATGGGGACCGGTTTTTTCAAGGTCGCCTCCACACACAGCAACAAAATATATCGCGGAGCAACTACCCACCTAGAGGCATGGAGGTAGGCGAGCAAACAAGGTGTGGATGAACGCGTTTGTTGGTCGACAAAACGAAATCGCACGTCAAGTAGGCAGGACTACCTCCCGAACCTCGACAAGAAAATAGACACCACAATCACGATTGCGTTAAAACCCCACCACAGGTACCGCAACGTAAGGAACCCGGGAATGTGCAACACAGCAGGTATCTCGTACCTCTACATTGTACTCATGTTAAAACCTGCACGCCTCTCCCAAATCAGCGGCAGGACACATGGGTGTGGTACATACCTGGCACACTTCCATGGGGATGTAGTTGTGCTTGGACGCAGACCCGATGCGCACGCACGGCAGGGACGGGTACTGTTTCGGCCCGGCGAGGGAAGCATGCGAGGGAGGGCGGGAGGGAGGGAGGGAAGCAAGTAATGAATGTGAGCAGGAAGATGATGCGTCTACATCATATGTGCTAAGCAACACACATAAACCTGATGGCCGCCCGTGTGAGTGTGGGTGTCGGCTTCCTGCGAAAAGATCGGCGTTGTCTCGCACTCCTGCCGCAGTCGGTACCCCTCTCTCACACAAGCACGCAGATACGAGGTGTTCAACTTTCCCCATCCACCACCTACCAGTGTCTTATTGTTTTCTCTTCATATTTTGTCTACTCTCTCTCTCTCTCTTTCTCTCTCTCTTGTTCTTCCATCTGATCCTCACCCTGAGCTTGAAGTACTTCTCGCCGAAGTACCTGGCGACGATCTCGTCCCTACCGCTCTCCTGGTCAGGGAAGGTCAGCTGGTCCGCCCCGATCTTCGACAGCGCGCTCACGCGGTACTGAGAAGATAAACAGGGGGGGTAGGGGGGGCGTTAAACTCATTATTACTCGTCTTGTTACCTCGGACGTTGGCCACCCATGCATGACCCTTTTTGGCAACACAGCATATTCCCGTTTCCGTGAGAAATCGACGTGGAAGAAAGTATCCAACATGGACGACAAAAAATAAGGGAAAAAATACGAGAGAGCAAACTCTCGCGCACGGACATGACAACCAACCAACGAACAAGCAAAGACACAGCAGTAGCAGACGCGCCGCCATACCTGCCGGTTGGACTTTCGGTGCGTGACCTCGACGTTGACCCCCTTGAGGGCTGTCTCCAGCTTGCGGCGGTCGTACGGCCGGATGCCGCGGCTGAGTTGACCGGGGTCACGGACGCCTAGCAGCTCGCACACGAAGTCCATCTGGAGAAGAACGCGAGACGGAAAAGCGGGGCGCGGGTGCGGTGAGTGAGTGAGTGTGTGTGTGCGGCGGTGGTAGCCGTTGGGGTAGTGCGCAGGATGCTTCCGTTGCAATGGTACCACCGCCGAGAGCGAAAACTAAGGGGGCTCCGTGGCGTCTGACCGCAAGCCACCACGCACCCCTCATAAAGCACCGTTCCAAGTACTAGGTCGAGAAGCGCTCATTGGAAAAATCATCAAAGAACACGACACCCGTTAGAGCAACCCATCGGCAAGGGGCATGACTTCAAGCCCGCAAACACGAGGTCATTCTCCTTTGCATAGGTCGGATGCATGCTGAGGAGTAAGGGAACCAACAAGTACGTGCGTGAGCAAAACAAACGATACAAAGGTTTATATACCCTTCAATGCCGCCTCGACCATCTCTGAAACGGCTTTGCCGGGCGCGTGCGTACACCTAACGTCTCCAGCCCTGTACCTCTCACCATGGGCATGCTCCGCACGAAGGCCATCGCGCTCATGTCCACGTTGAGCGTGAGCCCGGCCTGCGTGGCCCTGAGGGACTGGTAGTAGCCGAGCCACACCTCCGCACCCCCAGAGATGGGAGAGGGCATGTCAGGCGTGAAGAAGCTGCGGCCGACGCACGTGAGCTTCATCGAGGGGGCGTGCCGGAGCGAGATGTCCAGTGCCGTGATGCAGTCGTACGCGTTCTGGCTCGTTTGCTGGTGTATTGATGAACATAAGCGCGCGCGCGCGGTGGCGGGGGGGGGGTGCAAGACGAGCGTTAAGGAGGGGATAGAGAGAGGGGCTGGGGGTGAGGTTGGGGTGTTGTAGAGAGAGAGAGAGAGAGAGAGAGACACCAGGTACCGTCGTTAAGGACAAAAACAACACAACGCCACAAAAAAAAAAAAAACTCACCCCGCTGAAGAAGACGGCCAGGTCGGCGAGCCTCCGCTGCGCCACCTGCTTGAGGATGACGGTGAAGTTGTTCGCCTCCCTCTTCTCGGTGGCCGGCTCGAATACCACCACGAAAGACGCGCCCTCTGCGGGGAAGGGCAGCGGCCTCGCCGTGATCATGACCGAGCGGCCGTCGTAGGTGAAGGCGATGCCTCCGAGGGAAGAGGCGGAGTGCTGCTCCTTGAACTTCTGGAAGATGGCGCGGAGCTTGGCCGCGGGCTGTTTTTTGGAGGAGCGGGGTTGGCGAGGAGTCCGTGGGGGTGAACAGGGGGGCAAACCTGAAACGTTGATTCTTGACAAGTGTTTCGGTGATACATAGACGTCGGCTTTTGCATCATCATGTGACGAGAGGTATATGCCACTATCGTACTCACTGTGTGTTGGTGTTTGTGTTTAGCGGTTCGTTTGATTTTGCAAGACCTCGAGTCGGTCGAAGCCAACCAAGCCAACGCTGACCGGTGCACGCCGCAAAGCCCGGCACCACCAGAGCTCGCGGGCGCATTTTCCTCCCCAACGATGTAGCAGTACGTACATCTCTGGGCACTGTTTCAATACTGCCGTAAGGTACACCAGGACCTTAACCTCGGATGGCATCAATCCCTTACATCAACACCACTTGCGCGCTCAAGACAACACCACGACCGCAAATCATCGGAAACGCTCGACACTGCCGTCGGAATAGGATACCTTCGACGCGGGAGGTCGACTCGTAGTTACAGCAGCAACAGCAGTCACGCGATCGAAACGGAATAATACCTCTTCGGTGGCGCCAACAAACGAGGGTGTGTTGGGGTTTCAGGTGAAAACGGTCACTGCAATTTGAAAAAGCCCTCGCGCCGAAGAAAGACGACGGCGGTGTTGAAACGAGCAGAAGGCAAATAAAATCTAAACTCACCAGCGCGGTCTTCTCGAAGCCCTCGAGGCTGACGTCGTACTGGTACAGCAGCTGCTTGCTGTTGTAGTCCGCCTTGTAGTGGTTGGCCGTCACCACCACCTGCTTGCCCATCTTGCCGTAGTTCGGCCGGTGCGGGAGGATGATGTCGTCAACCTGCAAAAAAGCGCGGCGGCGGAGGAGGAGGAAAAAAAAACAAAACAAGCGGGTTGAAACAGAAGGCGAACAACCGGCCAAGTTGTCCAGTCGGCCCTCACGAACTAAAGCGTGCGGCACGCGCAAGCACCCAATACCAGAATGACTTCGCCGAAACTTGAAGGAGAAGAGGGGGGCGGGGAGAGAAAGAGGCAAACAGACGTGAAACCGAACACCTGAAAAACAGGGAAACTACCAGCGAAAAGCTACCAGCTGTCGATGGATATCGACCCCGCACACCGATCAAAGTGCCAACAGCATAGCACAGCGCCCGCGACTCACAGGGGTTTCCGCGAGGGCGGTCCTGCTGACGGGCGCTGGGGGGGGGAGTGGCTTTCCGGGTACGTTCACGATGGGGATCCTGGTGAAGGCGAAAAACAGCAGCAGCAGCAGCAGCAGCGGCAGCAGGTTCGGGGGAAGGCACACCGAGAGTGGTAGTGGCGACGAGGGGGAACGGTAGCGTGAGCAACAGTCAAATTTCAACAGGTAGTCATGGAGGGAAAATGTATGAGAGGATGTGCACCCGCACACTCAGCTCTGTTGCGCGTCTGGTGGCGGTGTACAGCAAGACCATTTCGAAACGAAACGGTTTTTCAGTTGACACGTCACGCGCACGCGGAGGGGGAAAAGGGACCTGCAAACTTGCAGACGCAATGATTCATGTTACTAGCTGCTGGAGGTGACGATACGTGCCTGAACCACCGTAAGCTCTGCCAGTTCCGCACACTCCTACCGCTGTTGTGACAATCCCTTCGGGGCGTCCAAGGTGACCACTTGGGTCTCGGGTACTGTAGATCAATACGTAGCGCGGAGATGTATACTCCGAGCGGGAGAAGCTTTCTCAACACTCATCCTGCCCGCAGGTAAAACATCACCGCACTGCTGTCTACTCGACCCAGGTCATCTGCAACGACGCCCCGAAAGGATTGTGTGCCAGTGCACCGGCAGAGGTCCACTCACGTAAGCGCCACCTCCAGTGTAGTCATCACTCATGTTGAAGTGCCGCGACATGAAAATTCGCGGTAGCAGCTTACTCTTTGTGTGTGTATCTTAAATGTATGCACGGGTGCATAGATGAAAGGTAGCATGAATGCTATGCGTACCTAGAGAGAAAGAAACGACGGGAAATCTTACGTTTTGCCTCTTTGACCTTATAGAGAAAATCAGAGCATTTTTTTTGTCATGCCACTAATATAAAACAAAGGACGGGCGACGTCCCGCAAGCTGCTGTCCATCGTTGGCAACGAAAGGGGGGTACAGTATGATTCATATAGGTGGGCAGGATGATGGACAACAACAGCAGTAGATTGGCACCACGGCTTTCCAGCACGTCGTACGTAACGGCACAACCAAAGATGGTTGAACGGATGGACGCACACCACCCACTCCACCGCACGGCGGTGTTTTCGTGTGTTGGCAGTTGTTTCCTTCGCAACGTACATGTAGACGGTAACATGGATGCATGTGTAGCGGACAAAAATGGTATCACGAGACGGATTGCGGGCGCATGCCGCAGCTCCTCCCTGACTGAGGCAGGAACAAGGAACGGCGGCGGGGGGTGCTTTTAATTTGTCCGCGGCGTTCGCTAGAGCAGTAACCTTGTTCGGCAATCACGCTTCCCGGATCATCGATCGATCTCGTCACAGACTGGAGAGAGGCTCTCTCACTGCTGTGATGAGATCACGGGGTCATCAATTATGTTGATTTTTTACAGACACAGCAGCAGAGCTGAGATTGTGCAAACACAGGCGCCAGGTATATATTGCGGTGCGAGAGAACGAGCAGCACACGAGAGCGCGATGCCGTTCAGTGGGGTGGTTATTGATGTCATCACTGGGCGTTGCGCAACCATATGCATTTTGTGGTAGATGTACCCGAAGAGAAAGTTGTGGGAGAAAAAGAGCCAGCTGTGGGTGTGATACAATGCTGTAGGGCGGGGAGAGGGCCAACGTTCGTTCATATAGTCTATGCGACGACAGCAGTGCGTGCATTACTTTCAGAAGGCGCCACAGCAGCGTCGACGGTCTGCAACCCGACCGTGAGAGCCGGCACGCCACCAAGATACAACACATGAAAAGCTCTTCGTCGCAGCTATGCACTGCTGTGTACCAAAACAACTGAGAAAAACAGCGTGCAAGAGGACGCACGACCTTTTTCTTGTTCTGCTTGGATCTTGGGTCTGTTGCTTGGACACACAGCAGACGGCAGACAGTCAAACCGATCGAGATAAACTCACTCGTGCACCCGAGGAACGTTTCGGAAGCGGGCATCCTCTTGCGCTCCGCCGAACCGCCCCCCTCCACCGCCTCTGCCCCCTCCACGCCCACCGCCCCGGAAATCTCCTCGACCTCCTCCTCTCCCTCCGCCGCGCCCGCCACCCCTGTACGAGTCCCCACCACGGCCGCCTCCTCCTCCTCCTCGTCCTCCACCCCTAAAATCTCCTCGTCCTCTCCCACCACGACCGCCGCCACGGGAAGACATCTTAGCACCTCTGCTTATTTCTCTTTCTATCTATGTATTTCTCCGCTCTACGCTTGGCGTTTGGCTTTTCTCTCTCTTTCCTGCGCTTGTTGTTGAGAGGTGTGCTCACAGCAGTGCTCTCTCGCTCGGGTGTGTGCCCACAACAAGTGGAGGGTTTGCTAGGGGGCTCCGCGAGATTTACGTTTTTCATGAGATTGGTACATACCTTGTACTTGAGGTATTTCATCTATCTTGGGGGGGGGGGGGGGGGGTCTCTCCGTCGACTCGCGCAGTGTGGTACACACACCCTCGCGTCTCGCCGACACGTTTCACCATCTCGCACAAGCCATCTTTGTCTCACCCCTATACGTATTTTGCGTCTAACGGGTACTTCGCCGACGCTTTAGCTGTCGAAGCGCCACACTATCAAGCCCACGACCAAGACGAAGGCGGTGTGCTTCGCGGCCTTTTTCTAGAAGAACCTCGCGTCGTCTGGCCACGCATCCTCTTCCATCCATCCGCACCCAAGGCCTTCGAGAAAAAAATAGCTTCCGGCCAGGCTCTGCTGCTTTCGGACGACCATGTTTTTCGGAGGAGGCTCGCCGTTCGAGCAATTTGCCGGCATGCCCGGGGGTGAGGGCGGCGGCGGCGGCGGCCGTCGAGGTCCCCCTGCGGACGTGGACACGACCGAGCTGTACCAGATCCTCGGGATCGAGAAGGATGCCTCGGAGAACGAGATCAAGAAGGCCTACCGGAAACTCGCACTCAAGGTGTGTCCTCTACCCGCGCGTGGCTGTGACTGCTTTCAATGACGGTTTCGGCGGACGCTTCGCTGGTTGTCTGTCTCTATCCCTGTCCCACCTGTCTTTTCCCTGCGGTTTGTGTTTTACGTCGGGTGCTTTATTTTTGTCTTCTTTTTTCGTCAGGCGGTGTTGTGTCGCTGATGACGACGGGCCGATGATTGCATCATGTCTGTGATCACAGGTTGGCGAGAAAATCTCTACCGTCCGTTCCGAAACGAGGTGCCAGTTCCCCTCCCCCGCACCTCTTTTGGTCCACAGAGCCGGAAGGTATTCCGCGTAGGATGTCACACAAGAGCACGATAACCAAGTCCACCGTCGTTTCTGTGCCTAAACGTGACCCGGGTGTACGGCTGTATTCAAAGCAAGGCAGCGTGTGCGGTGGATTTTCAAAACCAAATCTGTTTCACCGGCGTAGATTTTGTGCCCAGCGTAGTCCCACCAGGTGGGGCTCCTCGTATTTATGCCGCGCTGTTGACATATCAGTGACGACCATTCACTCTCCCGACTTCTGGCTAGCGCGCTGTCACTGGAACAGCCAGCGTGCAAGCCAACCACAGGGTTATTGTGTTGGAACACGCCTTGTGTTGTCGTACGGTTTTGGATTCAAACCGGAGTTTTCGGCGTTACATACAGCAGTATGCGGGAGGCGCGTATGTATCACGGGAACAGCTGTACATCATCAGAAACGGCGGCGGAGATTTCATTCTCTCCGCTTGCGGGACAGCCGCCCCCACCGCCGGCAGCACGAATGCTTCCGTACCGTCGCAGGCGGTCTCGCTCAACTGCCCCCGCGTCACCTCTGTATGTATCCATCTCGACATACCAAGCAAAATGGTCGTCTATATATGTTACGACAGCTGGCCGTATGTACGTAATACGGCATAGTGCAAGGAAATGCCCTGTGAGCTGCCTTTACACCAACAAAGCCGGGAAACCGAACATTACCACCTCGCATGAGTGCGGAAGTCTTGAGAAACGGCGGCTTATCCTAGGAGGTGTGATTTCCAAAAATCCTGTGTTGAAAATATGAAGTATGTAGGGCGACGAGCCACCCCCGCTCTCCCGAATTCGACATTTCCTTGGAGCCGAGGGTGAAGTTCCGTCTCGCAATGGCGTTTTGCGTACGAAGTATCATCGAACCGACTTGCTCATTCGATGGCGTCATGCTGACAAGATTAAGCTGCTGTATGCCACCGAGCAGAGGTCTTAGATTTGAAAATAACCCTGCGCCCCCCGGCTAAATACCTCTCCAAATGTGTGCAGAGTTAATCACCTCAATCAACCCCCCCTTGTGAAGAAACGCAAAACGCTGTTTTTCTGGAATCCACGGCAGCAGAGTGTCTACCCCATTCAACGCCATTTTTATGTTTAGGACACCGCAGGCCACCCCCCTCTTTTTGATTGCTGCTGCTGCTGCTGCTGCTGCTGCTGCTGTGTTCGTGCCTACGGCTGTGGAGATTGTTCCAATGGCCACACAACCCTAACCCTTGCCCCCTCTTGTCGCTCTTCTCTTCGTAGAACCACCCGGACAAGGGCGGAGACCCCGAGGTGTTCAAGGAGATCACCATGGCCTACGAGGTGCTGTCCGACCCCGAGAAGCGCAAGCTGTACGACAAGTACGGCAAGGAGGGTGTCGAGAGCGAGGGCGGAGCGGGCGGACAGACCCCGGAGGACATCTTTAGCATGTTCTTCGGCGGAGGCGGAAGGAGAGGGGTAAGAGAGAGAGGAGGGGGGGGGGGGGGGGG